CATTACACGGCTGAGGAGGAACTCGCCAAAGAGTACGGTTGTGGCTGAGGGCGGCTGAACGGCACTTTTGTACACCCATAATGCACGTTCTCGGCAGAAGAACATGCGATTTAGGCACCATCCAGAAAGAACCTTCGTCATTCGCCGATACAAACCTGCCAAGTTGCCTTCGCCAGCTCTCATAACCCCTGGTAGATAGGCAACATATTGCCCGCCGTGCATGCGTGTACTGCGGGCCGGCCTACCCTTCGTCTAGCAGGCGCCAAGCTCCCGTATTTAGTCGAACGAATCTGAAAAAAGAAAAAACCGGACGTGATTTCTGGATGGTTGTGCAGGGGAACAGGGAACAAGGGTATCAATAGAGCCTGGGGTGAGTGAGCATAACAGGGTTGGCTAACTGCCCCAGCCAACTCCGTCGCTTTCCTGCTGCAGAAAAATCGTTTCTTGACTCAACTACAATAATAATTAGTTCTGACCCGCAAGATTAATTTTGCTTTCGAATGAGAGCAAAAACACCTCTATTCTGAAGTGCAATCTTGGGGTACAATTTTCCTGGGAATCCGGGCGTTAGTCCATGTCGGGAGGGACTCGGCGCAGGCGCCCCGGTCTGGCTCGGCAGGCTTTGAGGCTCCGCGGGCTCCGGCGTGGCTGCGCGCTGCGCCTGGCTCCTGGCCGGGCCGAGCGGGGCCTCGTGGGGCTCTGGCCCTGGCCTGGCCTGGCCCGCCCGGCGCGCGTCACTGTGCCTCGCCGCTCCGCCGGGACCAGACCAGGTGCACGGGCCAGCGCTCTCCAGAAGCGATACGGGAGTGGAAGTGCGGGGGAGGCCATGGCAGGGGTGGTGGGCGGCCTGGCCACGGCCGCGGCCAAGATGCCCGGTCGCTGGGGCAACGGTAAGTCGGCGTGAAATCTGCGGAGGTCTAATGTAGTGCGCGCACCGTTGGGCACCCAGCCCCAGCCCCCCCGTGGAGGGTGGACGCGGGGAGGGCGGCTCGGTGAACACCGTAAAAGAAATTTTGTCAAAAACCACTCACGTACAATGGTGTTAGCCAACAACAAAAGTTGTTGCAAAACAGCAATGTTTTTTGCAAAACGGCAATGTTTGTTGCAAAACGGCAATGTTTGTTGCAAAACTGCAATGTTGTGCGAAAGTAGCAATGTTGTTCCTAAACATCTTTTGCTGTTCTTCAACAACTGTTGTTGTTTCTGAACAGCTTTTGTTGTTCTACAACAACACGGATTCAGTGAAGAAATTAAGAGAGATTTGCTGTTACTTCTAGATGTTATTTTGTACCGTGAAACGGGGCCCGAGTGCTGTGAATATGCTTTCCTTTGTGCAGCGGTGGTGGAGGTGCTGCTGCTGCAGAAGCGCGACTTCGACAATGTCCTCAAGGCCTCCATCATGAAGACGTGGGAGGAGATCCGGGAGGCGATGGCCACCTTCCCGTACTTCGAGCAGTGGGGCGAGGTGGCGCTGCGCGAGACGTGCATCCTGGCCAAGATCTCCCACTTCAAGACCGGCGACACGATCCTAGGTGCGCGACATAAGGTACACCACCGGTACACTGCTGCTGCTCGCGTCGTGGAACTCACCTCTCGCCGCCCCGTTCTCTTTCCAGGCGACGGGCACGGCCAGGCGAACATGGCCTACTTCCTGATCCGCGGGCGGGCGCGCCTCATCCAGCACCTGCTGCTCGTGCCCAAAGTCTCGAGCACGGGGCTCGTCAAGTACCGCTGTCTGCCGCCAGGTGCGTCTCCATCTGTCTATCTTACACACCAGTCTGGGGGGGGGGCGTCATTCGTAGATATATTTTACTGCACGCGATGGCGGGCTTCCAGCCCATAGCGCCTTACGGCGGGCGAGTAGGCAACCCGCCCGCACGTGTGCATGCGAGTGGACGGGTTGCCTACTCGCCCGCCGTAAGGCGCCCCGTTGGGCGAGAACAACCGCCACCACTACGCCTAGCAGCTTGCCTTCTCTAGCGCTTCATCTCTTGTAGATGCGTGCTTGGGTGCGGGGTCTTAGAGGGCCCTCCTTACCTCCTGTGGTGTGTTACAGGCTCGACCACGTTCCCGGCCGGCACGCAGACGCACTTTATGCAGGTGGCCATCTTCAGCAGGGGCGAGTGCTTCGGCATAGGTACCTCCTGGCGCAGCTCCCCCTCTGCCGTCTGCTCCGTCGCCCTGGTCTAACCCTGGTCTGACTTCCCGCAGGTGAGGACATGGTGGACCGGCGCGTGGTGGCCGACGGCCCGGTGTCGGCGCTGCTGGTGCCCCGCTACGTGCTGCAGCAGCGCGGCCACGGCAACCTGTGGGCCAGGATCAGGAGGTTCCTCAACTCGCGCTTCCCCTCGCAGGTGGGTGTCTGTTTGCCGCCAGACCTTTCAGCCTGCTCTCTGCGGCTCGCTCTGCGGCGCTGACGCGGCATGTACGACCGGCAGGACGCGCTGCTCAAGCAGTTCCTCAATGGGCGCGACTGGGCCAAGTACCGGCGGGACCTGGTGCTGCACCTGCTGCAGGGCCGCCCGCCCCTGGCCGACACCACGATCCACGACGTGCCGCTCTCGCTGCGCACCCGGAAGTGCGCCCCCTCCGAGAAGTGAGTCGGCCGGCTGCTATCGTGCTCGTGTGTGCTCCTGGCGCTGCACCGCGCCGCCCGGGCAGTGGCGGCAAGGGCGCGGGCGCGATACATTCGAATGATCGATTACCGAAGCGGCGCGAGGAAGGTTGAGAATCCATTCCGAGTGACACCCGCCCCTGGAGCGCCCCGCCGGCCCCACCCCCATAAAGGGTTGTTTCTCCTTTTATCTGCGGGGCGTATTTTCGAACTACACGAACGAAAGAGCGCGCGCCTCGCCTCGCCCTCGCCTCCTGGCCGTGCCGAGTAAGTTTCAGTCAATCGCTTTTACCTTTTACCCGAACGGGGCGGCGGAGGAGCGGGCGTTGCGCGGGTGGCACGCGACCAACGCTGCACCGCCGGGGCACCGCCTTACTCCTCCCTCGCGGCTAAAAACTAAAAGCGCCGGCCCCGCCCCGCCCCGCCCCGCCCCTGGC